CCCCCCCCCCCAGCCACCCCCGCACCCCCAGCCCCTCCAGGAGTCGCTGCCGTCTGGGGAGGGCTGGTGATGCCTCCCTGCTCACGTGAACCCTGTGTTCGAGAAAACACCAGACGCTCCTCCAAGAGCCTCCTGGGGGAAGCCCCCCGTAGAGTCCTCCGAGAATAACGTATGGGCTCGAGATGGCCTGACCCTGGGCAGCCCCACTTACGTGGCTGCTGCTGCAGGCTCCCACTCTGCCCAGCGCCCAGGTGAGAGGCCTGCGGCTACTCTGGTCAGCTGCTGGCCCTGGGCTGAGGGGCAGTGGTTTCTGGACCTTTCTGGAGGCTGAGTCAGCCTGGGCCCCGGGCAGTAGCTACCCCATGCTCAGGGCTGTAGTGGGCCCCCCTGAGAGCCAGGAGCCAGTGAGAACCTTCCCAGCCCCACACCTGCACAGAGGACAGGCAGTTTCCCAAGGTACCGGGGCCAGGACGGGGGTTTCCAGAAGCTCACAGAAGAAGCCAGATGCATGCATCTCTCACACCAGACATCTGAGACGGGGCAGGGGGTCCCAGAACAGGACAGGCCTCAGCCACCAGCAGCACAAAAAGATGGTTCTGGAAGTTTTTGGTCTCTGCAGATGGGGTGCTCCTCCCTATGGGCAGCTGGCAACCAGGCACGACCAGTGCCTGCTGCAGGACAGTGCCCACAGCGTGCCTGGGGCTGTAGCCCAGAGGCAGCAGCTGTAGGGGCTCCAGGGCCATAGCTGGCACCTTCTCATCAAAAGACAGAGTCACCAGCTCTGCTGATGGCACCTCCAGTCCCTGTCCCCGGCCGTGCCCGTAGCACCAACGAGGTGGTGCCTCCCCCCAGGCTTCGAAGGAGTTTTTCGAGAGAGGGTCTCCCTCTGCCACCCAGATGGAAGTGCGGTGGTGCCACTGCAGCTCATTGCAGCCTCAAACTCCTCCCGCCTCCACCTCCCGAGTAGCTGGAACTACAGATGCCCGCCACCACACCCAGCACCCCCCAGGTTTGACTGGCTGGCTGCCAGCCGTACTGACTCCCATGGGTGGTGTAATCACACGGCCACTGTGTGGGATGGGCCCCTGCCCGTCAATAGGCCAGGTTTCCATGTCCTGGAGGCTGTCGGGGAGAAGACACAGCCCACCAGGGTGCAGCTTCCGGGGGGGCAGAACACGAACTGGCGTGCGGGGCAGGGGGCCGTGTAATTACACCACACATGGCTGGCAGCCAGTCAGCCAAACTGGGGGGTGCAGGCAGGCACCTGCAGTTCCAGCTACACAGGAGGCAGAGGCCAGATCGCCATGCTGCGAGGGAGGCTGGGCCTCAACTGGGAGCAGCAGAAAGTCTGGATCCAACCCATAACCTGGCAGCAGGAGGGGCTCCCCAGTCCCGCCCAGCCCTCCATGAACTCTGGCCTCCCAACCAGCAACGTAGTAGAGGCGTCTGGTCCACGGGGCCTCACGGGAGTGGCTCTCCCAGCTGTTACTTTACTGCTGTGGCACAATCACAGCTCACCACAGCCTTCAACTCCTGGGCTCATCATTCTCCTGCCTCAGCCTCCCAAGCAGCTGGGACTACAGGTGCAACTGCTCTGTAAAACAGGTTGCTATGCTGTGCAAACTCAAAAGTGCATCACACTGATGGACACACAGAAGTCACCAGATGCAGAGTGTCTATGGTGGCAGTGGCCACCTCTGAGGCCACACCCAGGCCCCTCTCCACTGTCAGAGCCACCTGGGTCTTCCACGGAGGTCCTTCTGCCTGGGTATCTCTGCAGAGCTGCAGGGGAGGCCAAGACGTGGACACAGGATGGACGGACAGCTGGGGGCAAGGGCAGCTTCTGCCTCAGCAAGTGCCCACCTGAGGGGCCACGGCGCTGACAGAGCCATGAACACACGGCAGAAGGTGAGCGGCTGTCCCGTGTTGGGCAGTGTTGCTCTTGAGGGGCCCTGAAGGGGGAGGCCAGGGCATGGTGGAGACCCCCGTGGCTGCTCTGCTGGGCCCCTGCATACCGCCCTGCCGGAGGCCAGGCTTCTCTGCCTCTTCTGCCGCCACCTCGCAGGGTGGGGACTCGCCATCTGTGAAATGGTGACCGCTGGTGCCCACAGGCCCACGCCACCCTGGCCTTCCTCGAGGGGCCCCTCGGAACCCAGGTGCCGAACGGCCTCCCCTGCTCAACCGAGGGCCTGGCTTGCATGCGGCACTGCGCCCCAGCCCCGGAGGCGCTCTCTCCTCCGGTCGCCACTGTCCCAGGCCTTGCTGGTGGCTCAGCTGACAGGGGGCCTGCGACCTGACTGCAGCCACCTCTCAGCGCAGAGAACAGAGCGGGAGTCACACTCTGCCCCCTCGGGCCCCGGGGTCGCCCCGATCTGTGACACACCATGACTCCTGTCGAGGACGCCTCGCGGGGCAGGTGGTAGGGACACGCCAGCACGACACAGTCAACGCCAAGAGGCTCCATGGTGAGGCACGTGGCACATCAGACACGTGCTCCAGGACCCACGTGTCAAGTTGTTTCCGCAGTTCTCTCCCAGAAGAGACCCAGAAGGCAGGAGGGAGACACGCGGGATGGCTACAGATCCTGGGTGACTAAGCGCTGAGGCGACACGTTCCTCCCCTCCTTGGTCTTTGTGCAAAGGGAGACTGGCCGCCTCTGCCCGGCCCTCCCAGGTCAGGTGCTGCCCTATCACCCCCCATGCCGGGCCTTGCCCACTGCCCTTCACTCGAGTGAGGGGGTGAGGCAGCACTGCAGCCTTGTTGGAGACTCCCTTCCAGTCAGGAGTGGGCATGAGTCCAGCAAGGGACCTCGACACTGGCAGAGGACACACACTGCAAGCCTGGGAGGCGGAGACCACGTGGAGGGCGGGGCCCAGCCTCACCCATGCCCATCCACCCTGGCCGCGCACGGACAGCTTCCTGCCCAGAGGGGTTTCGGCACGGACCTGCGTCTTGCTGGGTGAAGTCCTGGCCACCAAGCGCCATCTCGGGGGCCAGTTCATGGGGACTAGGCCTCTGTGGCCACCGAGTGCCCTTACCCAAGCCCTGGAAGACCCGAGGCTGGAGGTGCAGTGGTTTCTGGGCCTTTCTGGAGGCAGAGTCAGCCTGAGCCCGGGGCAGCAGCCACCCCATGCTCAGGGCTGCGGTGGGACACCCTAGCTGGGGCGCTGGGTCCTCTTCTCCCTCATCCCGTCAGAGGTGCGTGGCACACCCTTTGGGAACCCACCTGGCCATGACCCTGGGCTGGAACGGCTCTCAGGGAGAAAGGTGCTCCCCCGCCCAGCAGACCGTGGAGCCAGTTCCGCCCGGGTACGTGCCGAGGCAAGGTGGGGCCTCTGGGCAGCGCGGTGACCTTCAGCGTGCGGGCTCGGCGGCCCAGCCTCAGGGGCCCCGTGACTCCCTGGAGCTGCCTGCGGGAATGTGCATCTAGGAGTGTGGGGGGTCTGGCCACTGTCTGGGCCTCTCTGGGATGCTCCATGTAGCCCAGGCCACTTTAAACAAAGGGAATAACAAGGCCACGCCCCCAGAAGCCCCGGCTTCTGAGATATGAGTCTCCAGACCTGAGCCAGGAACAGACGGCCAGCCTCGCTGGCAAAAGCAGGCCACTGGCCTGAGCAAGCTGGCCGACTGCCCCCACCACGGGTCTTGGCTTTGCCTATGGCCCAGCAGATGGCCAGGCGGCTGCCCCTCCACTGCCCTCAGAGGGGCCGGGGATACCTGCCACCAAGGGCTCAGGTCCCGGGTTGGAGACTGAGTCAGGGATGACAGATAACCTCAGAGGCTGCCTGGGCTCTGTGTCCAAAAGCGCAATCTCATTTTGAGAGAGCTAGACGGATTCCATGTGTCCATGAGGGTCTAGGCACTGTGCCTGGCTGGGTACCTGCACAGGAAGAGAGGCCACCAGCAGAGGCCCCCATGGGAAGAGGGTCTACCAGCAGGGATCCCCATGGCAAAGGGGCCTGCTCGCTGCAGCTGGGCCCTGCTGCAGAGAACGCTGTCACGTGTGCTGTGCTGACCGTTTCCGTCTAGATCAGCCTCCATCAGGATTGATTTGGCTGTGGGAGGGGGAGGACTGCTGCCCTGACCTGTCACCCCAGGGTCCCCAGTGGCCCCACAAATCACCCCCACTCCGTAAGCCAGGAGAACAGTCTGGAAAAACCAGGCTGCGGGCAAAGGAAGTCAATGGAAACCCACAGAGTGGGGGGCCCTGCCCACTCCACCCAGGCATGAGTCCCAGAGGCGAGCCAGTGGGTGGACAGCGGGAGGAGCAAGCCTGGGCGTGGTTCAGTGGGAATGCCCGTGGCGACGGGCACAAGACAGGAGCAACTGCAGCACCAACGCCGTGGGCGGTGGGGGCAGCTCTCACGCATGCATGGCACCTCTGCCTGGGCACAACCCCCTGGGCTCCGCCCATAGGCTGTGGCCCCCATTCTGCCAAGCCTGAGGATGCAGACCTGGCCAGCAGCATCACCAGATCAGATGACCAGAACCTCTGTCCACACCGGGCCTGACCCAGGGCAGTGCTGCAAAGCTCAGGGCTCACATCAAGAAGACTGCATTGATGGCAGGCCTAGCTGTGCAGAGGCCTGTGGGTGACGACTGCAGGGAGGACCCAGGGCCTGGTTCTGCACTCAGGAGTATGTTGAGAGACCTTCCTGGGACCCCTCAGGAGCCCCCACAGGGTTCCCAGGCCAGCCCTAAGGGTGGGGACAGGAGAGGGCAGAGCTGCCTCTGATGGGCAGGTGCAGCAGCTCACGGGCTCTGCCCGGGGCTGGCAGGGCCACCTCCCCAAGCCCACTCTGCAGCTGGTGAAACCTTAGGCCAGATGCTTACGCCTTCACAGGTTCAAATCTCTCCAAGCTCAAGGTGGACCCAACAACCCTTTCCAATAAACGGGTTTGTCTCCATGGCTCCCCACATCCGAGGTGTGGGCCTAGTTGGTGTCCCGACAGAAAGCCCT